AAGCCTGAATGAACACATGTCCTTTTCTTATTTAGGTGACATTCTGCAGACTTCGGACTCACCAGTGGTGTTTCATAATGTTTAATGTCATCCTATTTCATGCCTTGCTTTTTGGGGCTGACTTTGTAGAAGAATACTTGCTGCATTCTCTGCCTTATATAGATATGAAAGTTCTCGAAATTAAGGATAAGGCAAGAAGATTGAACCTGGAGCCCTTACGAAGCAATCTCTCCAAATATTATGTCCTGAGCCAGTCGAAGGTGTGTAAAGGGAAGAACATCTTTTTGCTTTCTCTCGTCTTTAGCAGTCCAGGAAATGGAACAAGACGAGACCTCATCAGGAAAACCTGGGGTAATGTGACTAGTGTCCGACAGCACCCCATTCTCACACTGTTTGCTTTGGGAAGGCCTGTTTTGGTAACTACCCAGAAAGAGATAGAGAAAGAAGCTCGTAAGAATAATGATATAATTGAAGGAATCTTTCTGGACAGTTCTGAGAACCAAACCCTGAAGATCATCGCAATGACACAGTGGGCTGACACTTTCTGCCCTAATGCCTTGTTCATTCTCAAGGTTGACGACGGGATGTTTGTCAATCTCCCAGGCTTGGTGGACTATCTTCTCAATCTGAAAGAACATCTTGAAGATATCTATGTCGGAAGAGTTATTCACCAGCATCTACCCAACAGAGACCCTCGTAGGCACAATTTTGTTCCTCTGAGTACTCAGAAAAATATTATCCCGATTACTGCAGTGGTGAGGCCTTTATAATGTCCCAAGATGTAGGCGGATGATGTACGTGGTTTTCAAAGAGATGCCCATTATGGTGCCTGCTGATGTGTTTGTAGGAATTAGTGCTAAGTTCATTGGCCTGATACCAATCCATAGTTCAAGGTTTTCTGGGAAAATACACATCAGCTATAACAGATGCTGCTACAAGTTCATCTTTACATCCTCAGAAGTTAGAGATGCTGAAATGCCTGTGGCATGGAAGGAAATTAATGACGAGAAAGAATGCACGCTGTTTGAGACTTACTACAGGCTCATTTCCTGCAAGCTTCTAACATACCTCGACAGCTTTAAACGTTCTCACATGGGGACCATAAAATACAATGCCATATATTTTGGTGATTAGAATTTCTTTCTCTTCCTTCTATTACTTTTAAATGACTTCCTACCCTGTTGTAGAAAGCAGCGCTCCTTCCCCATGTTTTGTGTAGCTTCTCTGAATCTTGAATCATTCATAGTAAAGGTACAAAATGTTCTTAAGAGCTCTGATGTACTCAGTCTTACTAGGATCTCATTTTAAGAAATGTAAGTTGATGTAGTATGATTCTAGTCAAAATAAAATCTTGAAGAAGGAGGACATTATATTTCATTGTAACCAAATCTTGCATAAAAACTGATAAGCTTATATATATTTATGACATACAATCGATGTTTTGATATATGTCCTGGAATAGCTAAATAAAGTTATTAACATATGCATCACCTCACATACTTATCGTGTGTGTGTGTGTATGTGTATGTGTGTGTGTGGTGAGACCACTTAAAATCTGCTCTCCTAGCTGC